TGAGGCAGACTCAGCATGGGTTCTGTAAGGGAAGATCTTGTCTCACTAACCTGTTAGTGTTCTTTGAGAGAGTAAACAAGCATGTGGACAAGGGGGACCCAATAGATGTTGTTTACCTTGACTTCCAGAAAGCTTTTGATAAAGTTCCTCATCAAAGGCTCCTAAGTAAACTCAATAGTCATGGGATAAAAGGACAAGTCCTCTTGTGGATCCAAAAACTGGCTAATGAATAGGAAACAGAGAGTGAGTATAAATAGGCAATTTTCTCAGTGGAGGGTGATAAGCAGTGGGGTACCGCAGGGATCAGTACTCGGTCTGATATTTTCAACTTGTTCATTAATGATTTGGAGCTGAGAATAAGCAGTGAAGTGGCTAAATTTGCAGATGACACGAAGTTGTTCAGGGTGGTGAAAAGCAGGGAGGATTGTGAGGCACTCCAAAAGGATCTGTCGAGGATGGGCGAGTAGGCATCAACGTGGCAAATGAGGTTCAATTTGGCCAAGTGCAAAGTGATGCACATTGGAGCCAAAAATCCTAACTATAAATACATGTTGATGGGGTCCGAACTTGCAGCGACTGACCAAGAGAGAGATTTTGGAGTCGTAGTAGGTAGCTCAATGAAAAAAGGGTTGGAACACTTTCCCTATGAAGAAAGGTTAAAATGCTTGGGGCTCTTTAGCTTGGAGAAACGACAGCTATGGGGTGACATGATCAAGGTTTATAAGATTATGCATGGGATAGAGCAGGTAGAGAAAGAAGTACTTTTCTCCCTTTCTCACAATACAAGAACTCGTGGGCATTCAATGAAATTGCTGAGCAGTCGGGTTAGAACAGATAAAAAGGAGTACTTCTTTACCCAAAGAGTGATTAACACATGGAATTCACTGCCACAGGAGGTGGTGGCAGCTATAAGCATGGACGGCTTCAAGAGGGAATTAGATAAACATATGGAGCAGAGAAACATCAGTGGCTATTAGCCACAAGGTATACATAGGAACTCTCAGTCTGGGGCTAGGGAAGCTCTGTATTCTTGCTGCTTGGGGGGGGGGGCGGGCAACAGTGGGAGGGCTTCTAGTGTCCTGGCTCCACTGATGGACCTCCTGATGGCACCTGGTATTTTTGGCCACTATGTGACAGAGTGGTGGACTGGATGGGCCATTGGCCTGATCCAACATTGGCTTCTCTTATGTTCTTATGTAAAAGGGGAGATAGGACAATATGGTTCTGAATGAAATCTGCCACTGCTGTCTTGCAGGAAAAAAGTAAGGTTATTTTATTTGGAATGGAACAGTTTGTAATATTTGATTAAGTTCTACTGTGAATGCTGATACTGTTTGATCACTAACATTTTAATCTGTGTTATTCAGTTGCTTTTAAAGTGTTATAGTATTATTTTTATTATAAACCATTCTGAGTACCCAGAAAAGATGATAAACTCTACCAGGGGGAAAATCGCTGCACATCTTTAAACTTTTAAATGCCAGATACAAGATAAAATGAAGTCAGCCATTAAGCAAAAATAAGAAAAGTATGTAATTCAAATAAAATGTTTATGTGTATGCAAGACACATGCTGCCAGGGTTCTCAGTAGTTCTCAACAGTATAGCTCCTACAGATGAGGCAAGCCACTGCATAGTTTCTAAAGGGACTGCATACATTTTTCCCCTTTAGACTGTGGCCAAGATGAGAAACTAGCTCAAAACAAAATCTTTAAGATGAGCATACAATTTTAATACTAACAGCAGCCTTCTTATACCTCTGATACAAACACATTCCATGGCCATTTCCACACGTGAGATGCCCCACGTTCGATGCTGTTGAAAAGGAAGTTTTTTCCTCTGCTTCCTCACAACACTGTGGTGTATCGGTTCACATCCTGGGGTTTCCCTGGTTTTTCCCTGATCTTTCCTAACCCTACTTTGCCGCAGAGTTTTGGGGAAAATGGTAGCAAAACCTGGATGACTGCCATGTGAACAAGATAGATTGGATTTCCCTGGTCCCACCAACATGGCAACTACTTTCGTCCCCCTGCCTTGGGGGGGGGGGGCACTTTCTTAAAATTAGCAACTATTGTTATATTACTATGACATTTTAACAACATGTGTAACAGGTTCTCTGAATTCCCAGCTTATTTTGTAGTTTCTAGATCCAGAGATCCCCAACATTTTTGAACTTGAGGACCATAAAATTGCAGCTAGAGAAAGTAAAGCCAACCATAAAATGCTTGCTGCAGGTGGAGGAGCCAGCAGCAAGAGAGATTGTGCATAACTATAATAGTAACTCTTCAATATTTCAGGCAGATGCTCTGTTTTAACAGGATGCCTTTTTAAAATGAACATTGTTTAAGAACATTTTCTTGCATACACACTGCTTATCTTCAGTCATGCAGTAAAGAAGGTTCTTGTGCTGCTATGGCCGCTGCTGCCAAACCACTGTTTTTTTTAAAATCTGCACGGACAATCAGATTTCCAGTGGTCAATCAGAACCACTAGGGTGTATATCGAGAAAGATTTCATTATAACTTTGGATCTGGGCTTGGAGGGAGTTTACCATAATCACTTATTTCTGGGTATGGCATGACCATGTCAGGTATCAAATCTTTGTCATTTCAGAGTTGAGCCCACTATTTTCAATGTTAAGTGTATATAATGTCCGCAGCAGCTATTTATAAAGATAGTAGCACAAAATTTGCACAGAACATGATCCTCTCTCAAATCTAAAGACTCCCCTCCACCCCCAAGTTTCAAACGAACTGGACAAAGGGGCTGGATGTGAGGGTGATCTGGCTCAATTTTATGGACCCCAAAGTAGATGCCTCTTGGCACAGACCTCACTGATCCCTAAAATGGCAGCCAAGAAGCAGCCGAGGAAGAGAGCGCCAGCTGGCCATGGCATTAAAAAAAACCACGCAGGAGAGCCCTGCTCATAAGGAAGAAGAAGAAGAGGAGGAGGAGGAGGAGGAGATTGGATTTATACCCCTCCCTTCACTTACAAACTCCTTTCCCTTCCCCTCCCCACAACAGACACCCTGTGAGGTAGGCGGGGCTGAGAGAGCTCTTTCAAGAACAGCTCTGACAGAACTATGGCTTCCCCAAGGTCATCCAGCAGCTGCAAGTGGAGGAGTGGGGAATCAAACCCAGTTCTCCCAAATTATAGTCCATGCACTTAACCACTACATCAAACTGGGTAGTGGAATGTCTCTCCAACAAAAGAGACCTTTTTTTTTTTAATGAAAGCTGGGAATTCAGATAACCTCATATATTTTTTAATATTATATTGGCATAGCAATGTTTAATTGCTGATTTAAAAACTGGAAAAGCTCTTGGGGTGTATGTGTGTGTGTGTGTGTGTGGGGGTGGCTGCTGCTGGGAGACCAGGGCAAGAAAACTATGGGAAAGCCTGCCATGTGAAAACTCTGTTGCCAGTGCACTATATTGGAAACTATAGGCAAATGATACATGCCTCTCCCCATGGAGACTGTTCCCAAATGGGATCTTCAAACCTGAAGTTTTCTATATCAGTAGCATTTCTGTAACAGACATGTGTGATTATCATATTTGATAGTATATATGAAGTTTGCACACTTTTTCCTTATATGGAAGATCCTTCTGAATAGAAACCCTGTTATGGTTAGAGGTACTCTAAGAGACAAACAAAATGAGATGCTTGAACACCTGTGATCAGATCTCCAGCACATTTTTCCTTAGTAAATCACAGATGCCTGGAAATGTCAATTGGGAGAGGGGAGATTAAATTCTTTTCCCTGCACTGTTTTCTTTACCTCAGGCAGCCATTTGAAGTGGCAGGGTATCAAACTAGACGTGACAGCGTCCTCATGGCTGCCATAAGGATGCCACTGCCCTTTTAAAATTATTTTAAAATGCTGCCCCACTGCATAGCACTCTTGTTCCTCTCTGTGTCCCTTTTCAAGTGCTAAAACAACTGTGGGGAGCGGTGGGGTGGGGGACAAGAACACCTCAGCCCACACTGAGCGCCTGGATCAACACTGGGCCCCCGTGGAATCTCAAAATAACCATAAAATGGCAGCACCCTCATCTAGTCTGGCCCACAGCCTGGTCAGCTAAGTGGCAGCCATGGCCATCATCCACGTGCTAGATGCTCTTCAGAAAGGATGGTACACTGGTCAAGGAGGATAGTTCACTGCTCACTGCTCACTCTTGCCAGCATGAAAGGGGCTCAACGGAAGGAAGAGGAGATGGGTGCTCTAAGCCCCCTCCCAGCATATTGTGTGGATTGACCCCATTTGATCCCATAATTAAACCTTAGAAGGAAACACTAAACTGGATCAGAAACAATAGTAAAGGTAAAGGTTCCCTTGCTCGAAAGCCAGTCGAATCCGACTCTAGGGTTGTGGTGCTCATCTCCGTTTCAAAGCCGAAGAGCCAGCGCTGTCCAAAGACGTTTCCGTGGTCATGTGGCCGGCATGACTAAACACCAAGGTGCACGGAACGCTGTTACCTTCCCACCGAAGTGGTACCTATTTATCTACTTGCAATTTCTTGCTTTCGAACTGCTAGGTTGGCAGGAGCTGGAACTAGAGACGGGAGCTCACTCCATCATGCGGCACCCGGGTCTCGAACTGCTGAACTACTGACCTTCCACAGCCTGCAGTTCAGCGGCTTAACCACTTGAGCCACCGCAGCTCCTTCAGAAACAATACTGAGCAGTAATTTTCAATAACAGCATTAAACTTTGCATCTTCTTCTAGATTTCATAATATCTGTTGTAATGCTGGTATAATGTTTCTCAAATACCAACATAAATTAACGTTTTGGAAAGTTATGCTGATATAATTGCTAGTAAACACATTTTAAACATTTGTGTTCTACAGTAAAGTATTTTAGAGCCAGGCTTTTAGTTTAATGTACAAAAAATTAGCATTAGGATGATTTTATGAACAGAACAAGCAGCACAAAAAAATAAAGCCATGATCAAAGTTATTAAATCATGATTTATAATTATTTCAAACATTTACTCACTTGTGACCAATCTCATGTGCGATGGTAAAAGCTGAACCTAGGCCAATATCTTCATTAATGCTACAGCTCCTTTCAGGCTCGCACATTCCAGCGACAGAGGCCAAGCCTGAAGAAACAAAAGGAGACACAATGGGTCATGCCAAGGTGTTTCAGTCTTAAAAGCACAGTTATAAACGTCTGGATTCTCTTTAATAACCTCCATGGATAGAAGCAGCAGTTGGCAAAAGGTTAACTTTCTAGTCATTGCAAAATCACTAGGGGGAATTTCACTTTGCCGGCTAGACATTAATATTTTCTGAACTGCAGTCACTGCTGGAAAATGTCTAGACTAGGGGTTAGATTTATAAATTTTACTTCTGGTAACTTGGGACCACCTAGTAACTTGAGCCAGGAGAGGGAATTCAAGCAAGCATTTCTATTTTAACATTCTTTGAGGTTGCAGAAAGCAAAACGTATCCACATTATTTTTCTAAAAAGATCTGTTTAAGTTTAGTGGATTCATAAAACATACAAGCAGCATTTTTAGCTACAAAAAAAACCCAGAAGTGTATTTTTAGGATTTTGTTATGAAAACAAAAACTCAATGCACCAATTGCAGGGAAAGACATATTAACTAAATTCACTAAACCACAGAGACTTTTATTTATCACAGATTTCTGAAACTAAATTCTGACTATATAATATGTTCTTTGAAGTTTCTAAAAGTAAATTTACAGAGTATTACACATGCCCTTCAATATTACACATAATGAACAATATTTCAGACTTCATTTGTTGCCACTTCTGATGGATTACAATCTGTAGCCTTAAAAGATATTCTTCCCTATGAGGACTGTTATCTGGAAAAAAGATTAACATACCATCCTATGGGATTATGTGCTCTGAAATCATATTGTTACAAAACAAGAACTGGAAAAAAGGATACACATAATGTTTAGGTCAACACCTTGCTTATGAGAAAAGAAAACCAAATTATAACTCTACAGGTGTGGTTAGAGTTGCCAGGTCTCTCCTGACACCTGGCAGGGAATGAGGAGTGGGAGGTAGGTGAGTTAGGGGGCTCTTTTTGTAGCAGGTACTCATTTACATATTAAGCGACACACCCCTAATGTAGCCAATCCTCCAAGAGCTTACAGTAGCTCCTGTAAGAGCAGCTCTGTAAGCTCTTGGAGGATTGGCTACATTAGGGGTGTGTGGCCTAATATGCAAAGGAGTACCTGCTACAAAAAGAGCCCTCTGGTTATTAGGCAAAAATTCTAGGGTAGAATTCTACCCTGGAGTTTTTGCCCCAAAAAACAGACCGTTGCCCTGATATCACTTCTGGGTCACACTGAAGTCACATGGGCATGTAGCTAAAACATCATGTGTTCCTCCCTTTTGGGGGGGCAAAAATCCCCCCTGCCAGCCAGCTGATTAGTGGCAGAGAGGTGGGGCCTGGAACCGGGGGACACCCACCCTCACTGGGGGGTCTGGCATCCCTAGGTGTGGCTCAGAACAGAAAAGATTATACTGGTGCTTCACATTTTGCACTCTCCTTGTACCTTCTGCTCAGTTCACTTGTCTTATTCCATTACTAGTTCTTACCTCATGGATACCCATCACCCTGTGATCTCTTTGTTCAACTGACAGCTCTACTAGGGGCCAATTCATATGTTACAAAGTCCACATGGTAGATACATTGATTTGTCAACAGATAAGCACCTGTAAGCACCTGGACTTTGGTGCCTGGAACTCAGTTCCCATGTCTTAAACATTTTAGGAATACTCTAAATATTTTAACTTTGACTGTCATTAAGTTGCTAGAGCTAAGGGGATATGGGCGAGAGGCAAGAATGACAGCCCAATGTTTTATTTGCTAATGGGGTATACATACTACTTTTCAATTTAAATTCTCAAAGACATACTTGATACTCCAATAAAATGTTAATCTATCTAGCCTTAGTTCTTGGAACTGATTTCCTCACGGGAGCTTGACTCAGATCAGGATGATGATGCAAAAAGAATATGTTTAAATCTTTGCCCTTTCCAATGTTTTCTTGACTTGAAATGCCCTGAGTTGCTCCACCAGGAAAACTTACACGAAGCCATCAGTATGTATAGGTTTCCCCAACACAGCACACACTGGCTCCCCAGCACCATTTCAGGTCACGAAAATGACACCTGCAGGCACCGGAGCCCCTTCTCCCTGCCCACTGCATCTCCAAATCCAAATCAGGGCTTTGCACACTTGGGAACTGAGTTCCCAGCACAAAAGGCACACATTTCATCAAAGTCCTTGCGATGGCCACATGTCTGCCATGTGGATTTTGTCAAATCCAGTAGACTCAGGGCTGATTCACACAAACTTCGTAAGTCAGGAGCACATATAGCAATATTGCTCCCATCTCTTGTTCCAGCTCCTGCCAACCTAGCAGTTCGAAAGCAAGAAATTGCAAGTAGATAAATAGGTACCACTTCGGTGGGAAGGTAACAGCGTTCCGTGCGCCTTGTTGTTTAGTCATGCCGGCCACATGACCACGGAAACGTCTTCGGACAGCGCTGGCTCTTTGGCTTGGAAACGGAGATGAGCACCGCAACCAAAGAGTCGGATTCGACTGGCTTTCGAGCAAGGGAACCTTTACCTTTACCTTTTACGAACCAAAACCAAAACAAAATATTCCTTTCCACGTTCACTAAGGCCTGTGTCTTAAAACATATTAGGAATACTCTAAATATTTAAACTCTGACTGCCTTTCAGCAGCTAGAGCTAAGGGGATATGGGTGAGAGCTGAGGATGACAGCCCGATGTTTTATTTGCTAATGGGGTATACATACTACTTTTCAATTTGAATTCTCAAAGACATACTTTATATTCCAATAAAATTTTACTCTATCTAGCCTTAGTTCTTGGAACCGACTAAGGCAAAAGTCAAAACAAACCACAACTCCTGATAAAACAGGTGGAAAATTACCTGATCCCCTCCCCCCCAGTCTAATCTAAAGCCAATATGATAATAATATTCTACTTGTCTAAATCAAATTGACACTGTAATCAAATAATGTATTCCAGAAAAGTATCCTTGGCACCTCCCTAATGGTTCTCATACTGTACACATTTTAAATGATGATATAATATTTAAATGTATATAAAATATATTTATAAAGATTCATCAGAAAAGCACTGAAAAAGGTAAACAAAATAATCAAGGTGTTGGAGCTCCTGCTTTACATGGGCAGGCTCAACCACTTGGAATTCTTTAGCTTAGTAAAAAGCTAACTATGGGAAGATATAACAGAGGTTTATAAAATTATGCATGAAGAAAGTAAATAAAGAACTAGCTTGTTTGTATCCAATGAAACTGATGAGCAGTCAAATTAGGGACAGTAGTGTCACATGCTCAACACTGGCTGGCTGGGAAGGAGAAGGAGGAAAAGACAGCTTAGTGGGTACTGGGAGACTCAAGAATGGGCTCATCACTCATAGTTGCTATTCCATGTGTTAGACAGAAAAGCATGAGAAGAAAATTGCTGAAGCTACAAAAACTGCTGAAGCCATTCATAAAAGCAACAACACACATTGCTCCTTTCCATGCAGGCAAATATGAAAACAAAAAAAGATTTGTCTAGCATGAAATTTATTACCATACCCAAGGATGAATGACAAACATGGATGTCATTTCAATGTGAGACAAAAAAGTATTGAATTTTAAAACTAAACACACACAAGCTGAAAATTAACAATTTCTGTACTAGATTAATTATTACTTTCTTGTGAAATTATTTTTATATATACCAAACGCCTGTTATCTCAAGCACCTTACTGGACTGATGCAATGTCTTCTCATGGGTTAACAGCACAATTCAAGGGGGGGGGGGCAAAAGCACTCAGGAATGACCTTTGCATTGGTGCACGTCCAAATTATGCCAGCGTGAAAGCCAGTTATGATGGTGCAGGCCTCCAGCGCCACTCCATTGCTCTCGGGTGCTGGTAGACGCCCGCTGTGGCCACCTGTTGACACAACTGAGGTGGAGGCCCCTGTGCCAGCATGATCGTGGGCAGTTTTGGGGGCATGACCAAAGCTAGTTGGCTCCCTGAGCCCTTTCAGCCTGGGAATGCTGCCTGCCAGAGGTGGAGAGTTATGCCAACAAAAACCATAACATGGCCCATAGGCGCCAATTGAACTGAGAACTCAAGTCGTCCCCATGCCACTGCAGCCTTGCCAGTTAGGCTTGGAGGAGCTCAGGATGCTTACAGACTCGCCCAATCAACTCCCTCCCAAAAGTGGCCAAGCCCCCTCCCCAGCACCCAATCGGACCCCCCTCTACAAAAACTTCAGCCAAGAGATCTTACAACTCAGTAGATAGGCCATGCGGCATGGGACTCCATCTCAGAGCGCCCTGCCGTGTCGACTTAGAGCAAGTAAGTGAGGCACTTTGGTGGCGGGAAAAGTACAAAAAGGGCACTTAGCACTACAGGGCGAGCACTTTGCGCTAACACCCAAGGAGGAGAGCAAAGTCCATACTTTGTGGCTGACCTCCCCCATTTCAAAATCCTAACAGGTACCCCACCTTTGGAAGTTTGATCCGAAGGGGCAACCACACACTGACAGATAAGCAAGGGCAAGGATCCCAAACCTGCTTCCCCGTTTCCCTCATGAGGTTGGGTGCAGTGACAGCACCTCCTGCACTCAAGCCCACCACTGAGCTTATGCAGGGGTGGCACAAGCCATGACTGCACAGCACTATGGCCCCTGACATGCCATGGGAAAAGATCCCATGAAAGTTTACCAGGAGATCTCAGGGTGGGGGAATGCTCTGTCAGAGGACCGGGCATGTCTGTTGTTTGGGGAGGGTCTAACAGCTGCTCCGCTGTACATGGTGAACCAGCTTGTCATGCAATCCTTTAACTCATTTCCTTACAAAACCAGAGCCTCGAGCAGCAGCTGCAGCTGCTGCTGTGGGTGAATTGCCAGCAATCCATGACCACTTCATCACAGGACAGCTAAGTGTAATTTGGATGGTACCACAATGTGCTGCAAGGGAGTTTTGTGGTGAACTCCCCTCTATGGGACTGCATTTGCAGACACTGTCAGGACAACTCATCCATGGTTAAGCCTGGCATGGCACTCATGCCGGCTTACCATGGCTGGACATCTCTCTGTTTTACTGTCCTGCATGTGAGAATTCAATAAGGAGACCTGTGGGTGTGATGAATACCGCCTCTCCTCGCCACACTCTGTTCAGTCAGTGGTTCCAGCCCTCCTTTTGAAGTGGAATGTGGCACCCCGCCAGCCCTTCCAAGTTCCACCTGCAATGCCATTCCACTTAGACACATGCCATGCTGGGGATCCTTAGTCCTCTTCCCCATGGCCCCAGGGAGGAAGGAAATGGAGTCTTCACACCTCACCATGGTTTACAGTTCAATAAAGTCTTTGTTGTGCCACAACTGTGTCTCTGTTTGTTTGGTTTTGACCACATGACAGGAGCTCCACACCCCTCTCTAACCCATTCCCTCCCCAGCCCATCTGCGACTCCCCTGAGGGCTTCCTGAGGACATGTCTAAGAGGGAGGGCTCTTGGGTGCTTTGGGTGGCTGTGGATGGTTGTGCAGGTCCCACTTGTCATAATCATCTGCCAAATATAACAGGGGCCCACTGGCCCTTCCAAAGCTGACCTTACAACAGTTTATCTCCCACACTTCACAGACTTCTGTGTGAAGGGGGAGGGGACAGAGGGTGGTCTGGATGAATAAGCCAACTTGGTGCAGTGCTTAGAGCAAATCTGGGAGACCAAGACTCTGTTCCTCACTTGTTCCATGGAAGCTAGGTGCGTGGCTTTGATGGACTGCACAGAAAAGCAGGCTTTTAAAAATGCTGCTTGTGTCAGAGAGTTCATGAGTTAATCTCCCTGGAGAGAAGAATTTATGTGATTGGCTGCTCTATTAGCTCTCTGATTGGCCAGCATCAGCTCAGAAACAGCTGATCTGGAAGGAAAAGAAGTCTTTTCACCTTTTGGTCTTTGTTTGAAAATTATTGTCTGTATCAGTAGCCAAAGGGTTTGGCTTCTGGGGGAAGAGACATTTGGGAGTCAGTGTTTTCTGACAGGCAATAGTCAGAAAAGTACTTCTACAGAGAGAAGAAGAGAAACCTCATTGTCTTAAATGTATTAAAACTGCTCTGAGGGAGAATTCAGATTCTCAGTCAGGAAAGCTACAGAACAGCCTTATACAGACAAAGGATACTGGAGAAGAATTTGACAGAAGGTCTGATTAGTTAGAGAGAACTCCCATACAAGCTAAATAGTAAAAGGAGTTATTGCTTCTCTAGGGACAAGGTGAATAACTTCCTACTGGTGAAAGGGGTTGAGTAGAAAACTCTGGTCTGTGATAAAGGGGAGAAGCTCAGATCCCTCAGGAGTTAGTGAAAAGCTGTATTATCTACAGGAAAACCTAGAATTCTGAAAAAAGAAACTTTAAGCAAATGCTGTCCTCCAGAAGAAACATTAATAAGAACCATGTTACAGCTGAAATATACCAAATAAAGTACCTCTCAAAGAGAGAACTAGAAAACCTTGAAACAAAACTACAAATAAGCTCTCTTGAATGTTCTAAGAATTCTGTAGATATATTAGAAAGTTTTAACCTCAGCAATCTCAAAACCTTAACTATTCCTTTTATACATACATTCCCTGACTGTTTCATAAAAATTTATTCTGTTTTTGAAAGTTAATTTGCCTCAAGTGCCATTTCACAAGGGTTTATAAAACAGGACAGCTCCTGTCTTTTCCTCAAGTTCCTCTACTGTGTCTAAAGCCTAAACCAATATTTAAACAAAGGCTGGGACAGTTTCAAGTTTATATCAATACAGAAGATAGACACAGTACTGTAGGGCAAATTAATCACGGAGGGGAACTGAAGATTTGGCAGGAAAAATCTGCAAGACAGTTCAGGAGATACAGGGGTCCATCATAGTGGCCTTTGGCCTGATGCATACTCTCAGCCTAACCAACCTCACAGAGTTGTTGTGAGCATAAAATGGAGGAGATGGGAATGATGTAAGCCACTTGGGGGAGAAAAGTTGGAAATGAATAGACTGAATTTTCAAAATTGTGTGTCTGCTATAGGAAGGGGGGCTTCTGTTACCCAGGGAGAAGACATCTGTGAAGGTAACACTGAGGGGACAGGGTATCATGTGGGTCCCTGGAGTCAGTGGCTGGGGGGGGGGGGCCAAGGCAGCAGGCAGATTCACTGTTGTTGGAGGGGGTTGGGGGTATGCCCATTGGACATACTGGCAACCAGGAATTACAAATGACTTATAGGTTTCCACTGCAATACAACACTACTACATCACCACACACATGCAAGTAATGATGAATGCAGAATGGATTTGGAATGAAAGTCTCTGGGCACTGATTGTTTTGGAACTGGAATGACAGAGCCCAGAGTGGAATGATGATCTGCTCCACTGTATTGGGGGATCTGAGGGTGGTGCTGCATGGCCCAACATCTGAGTCCACCCCGGTGGCCCCCTCTCCTGCTCTACCACTCACAGGGGTGATGTGGGAGTGCCCTTGGCAACATGGCTAGGTACTCCCTGGTAAGCAAATAAATAGGGTGGCAACAACAACCCCCCTTCTCCTTCTGCCCTTTGGGCTCTGTGTGCTCTGTGTGGGCATTGAGGCAGCTTTAGATGCCAGAGGTGAACAGCTCGAACCCCTTCCCTACTATCAGGTGCCTGGATCTGCTGACAGCAGTTGGTTCCTTTAAGGGGGTGGGGTGGGGGTGCTCCTGAAAACGTGCAGAACTCCTGTGGCCTGCCCCCTCCGCCCCCTGCCTTAGATGAACACTGGACTCCACCCCCTTGCCACATGCCCCCTGATTGGTTCTAGTGGCCTTGTCCATCAAAGTACCACTGTCTCCACACAATGCCTCTACTGACCACTACAACATGGTTGCTATAGACACTACACCGGTTACAATCAGAAAACACTGTGAACCCACCAACTTTGTCTGCTGGCTGCTGGGTAACTTATGCCGCCATAGACTAGTGCCGCCATAGTTATGCAGTGTCCAGCCACGGTGGTACAGGCGCAGCACAAAATGAAGTAAACAGAGCTAATTCAGTAGGGAAACAGTGTAGCAAGATTACAAGACTCTAGCAAAATCATACAGAAAACATTTCTCTCTTAAGTATTCCAGCATTCAGTAGGGAAACAGTGTCGCAAGTTTACAAAATTCTGGCAAAATAATACAGAAAACAATTCTCTCTTATGTATTCCACTATTGAACTAAGCAAAATTTTGAAAGAACTGTCAGAGGTTTTAAAAGGTTTTAATTATTTTAATTTACTTTATGAATTAAAAAGCAGCTTAATAGCAAATTTTGGTTTATCAGCAAAGAAAACTACATTAAATATGTAATAATACAAGTGTGTTGAAGAATTCAGAGATGACATGGATAATAGGACAGCTTTTTCACTGCATGAGGCAATCAGGTAAATGATCTCAAACACATTTTTTTTTTTTACATTTTTCTGATCCTCCCCCACTTACTGGGGGCCTTTTTCGTAATTGTGAAATGTATCAAAGCCATGTTATTTATTTTAAAATGTTGATCACTTTCTTGTTTTTTAGTGTTATAATAAAAAACCCTCTGTTTTTAAACTGTAAAATGTTGCTTCTTGCTAGCAAACTGTATTTCCATATCCAACTGTCATATAAATGTGTAATCTGAGAAATCATTTCAAGAAACAAAGTCTAATGAATCAAATACCAAAGACTGAACCATTCAAGCAATAAATAGTAATTTAGGTTACACTCTGCAGCCTTACCCAATGTTCCACAAGGCTTGTTTTTATATGTGCAGATATCGTATCTGTAAAAGGGGGAAGGAAAATAGATATATTTATACAAAGTTCAAAGCTGTGATACATTTTCTATTTATCACATTTCTATAGTGTAACTCCAGTTGTCAGACTGCAATCAGTGTAATTATGTGCAGCCAGCTGGAGTGTCGGCTCCGTTCTCTGGTGTAAACCACAGGCTGCAGTATGCTCACAGCCTCTGGCCTCAGGCCAGTGGGACACCTGCCAGGAAGGAAAAAAAGGTTAAAGTGGACCTTTGTAATCTCTCGCCTTATAAAACAGTCTGCCGTTCTGTTATGAAGTGACAGCAGTAGGCCTGCATAGCATTACCATTTGAACAAGGAAACTAACAAAACATTCTTATAGTCTACTGAATTCTTTTCTTCTCAAGAACACTACTTAAGATGTGGAACAGTTATGTTTAAATCCTAACATTTTGCACTTTGCTTCCTTTCTGGACAAAAGTATCATACAACTTTCACACTTCCAAAACCTTCAGCATATTAAGATATGAGTTTCTTTCCCATGATAGTATTTGGTTCATTTAAAGAACTTCACAGTACAATAACAATTTCTTTCACCATCTTGAATAAAATTTAACCACATGTCAAAACAGGAAAAAGGCAGAAAAGAAGGGAGATAGAAAACTTATATGTAACTACTATTCTAGAAAGTCAAACAATGGTTCAGACACCACCAATGAAATGCCTGACATTCTTTTCAAGCATCTATAGGATGAATGTGTGACCATTTTCAATGTGAAGTGGCTAAGCTTTTTATAACTGTTCGTCTCTCTAGGTGTAAGAAAGAAATAAGGACAAACTGTTGCATGGCAACATTAATCCTCTACCTGAAAGGGGGGAGGAGAATAAGGGTGATGTGTTTTATAGGCCCACAGCATTCTTAGGTACGGTAGGGTCTGCTTACCATAGACTTCTTTTTCCATGATTTCACTCATTATTTAGTAAAAATATGGACAGATAACATGGGTAGGGGTTGTATATCATGTATCCCATCACATGTCCCAACAACTATAAATGTTGACAACAGGAGAAATAAAAACAAAGAAATAAAGATGGTGTAAAAGTTATATCTAAACATGTAGGGGCCAGCAAGACTCATGGGGGGATCCCACCACCCTTACCCAATGAGCCCCAGCATGGCTCCCTTCCAATTCCCCTCCCCTGTCATAGTGGAGTTTGGCACAGCTCCAGGCCTCCACACCTGGGGCAACTCCTGGATGCAGATACCACATCTGGGCCCGAAGTGGCTCCTGGATGCTGACACAGCTGGGCCTGGAGTGCTCCAGGACACTACTGCCACCACACCTCCAGGACAGACAAGATAGTGTTTGGGTGGTATTTAAAACCCCCCAATTTTTTTTAGTTTCAGATTTTTCTGTAAACCTGGGGGATCCCCCCAAGTTTGCAGAATCACCTGTTTACTGTCAGTGTGAGCCCAATCCGTGGATTTATATATACACAGATTGGCCCATACTTGGCTATTAAATATATAGATAAAGAACAAATTAACTATATTGATGGCAAAAAGTTTGAAATCACAGTGTATCTCAGCAAATGCTTTCTTTCACATGAACGCACACATTTTTAAATCACTGGAGGTGCTGCTTCTATAGGGAGATTAGTTTTGAAAATGTTTTACATGACAGTCTTTTCTGTGATGACACCACAACTGCAACTTTATCCTCACTGTCAAGATTCTTCATGCATCTCTTTTTTATTTATAGTTCCCAAGCTGCAATTTTTATTTTGCTCCAAGATTTTAAATGCTTTTAAACTGCTTCTTTTAATTACAACAGAATGTCTTTAATGAACCTTTTAACAGGGCTATCCTAAGCAGACCTGCTGCTGTTGTTATCCATACAGTCATGCCCAACCCTTGGCGATTCTATGGGCCAGCTCTCTCCACGTTTTCTGATTTTGTACTGTTTGTACTTTCTTTGAAATTACAGAGCTACACTCTTCTAAATCTATTGAAGCCAATGGATTTATAATGGCAGTTAGTAGCTCAATCCCATAACAGATATTAGAAGTAAAAATGTTTTTATTGTTGCTTAACAGTGTTACTAGTCACCTGCATGTTTTTAGAATTGTTTGTTTTTTAGTTGGTTTGGTTTTCATTTTGACTGCTGCAGACTGCCTTCGGCTGCATATGTAATGCCAAATGTAATAAAATACATTGAGCGCTAGTTTAACAGTAGTGGTTAAGAATGGCATGAGCCAATAAGTCCCTAGTCCAAATCTTTCCTTAGTCTCAAACTGACTTGCACTCAGCCTCAGTCCTGCCTTTGCAGTACAGAAATAATAATACTATCCTATATGCAATGTAAGTGAAGTGCTCTGAACATCTGAAATGTACTTTTAATTGTTTTGGGCCCTCTAATTGTAGAAATGTCTCATGTTTCAATCACTGTAGCTGACAGTGAAAAAACTGTATCTGATTTCTGTAATTGCTTTAACAGTGCACGCCTTCCAAATCCAAAAATTATTATTAGATGTTCCAAAGCACATATGGAGCTCCTGCATGTGCAAGAGCTCCCCTTACAGTAATGCAAACCAAACATAGTTTCAGTGTTGAAGTCACAGGAAAACCTTGTTTGTGTGGGAGACATGTATGTTATTCCTCATATGGACCTTTGGATAAAGCTGAATACCTCCATTATTAAAGAAACCATATTTGGGGCTGGGGGGACACCAGTTATTCCTTTCTGGATTTAAAGATGCTGGACAGAGGGTGATTAAATATTACAACCTTATAATTTTTCAAAGTTTTAGCAAAAAAACTGAAAATACATGTTTTAGAAATAACAATTCGCAGTACAAGGCAAAGTGCAACTCTATGTATTGTGTAGTCTAAGCCATTTATTTCAGTGGGCAGAGTGGAGTAGCTCTGCTTAGAATTACACTGGCTGACTTTGATATTTTTTTTTTGCCATAGCATCTGCTTAATCTTACAGAATGTGGCCTACCACAACAGCCTTTTGCCTTAAAATAAAGAACACAGCTCATTCGGTTTCATCCTCAAAAGCCTCAAAACCAAAAAAGCTATTTAAACCAAGGAAGGAAAAGAATGATTTACATGTCACGTTTCTCAATAAAAATAGCTTTTCTATTATTAGTTTGCTGTATATTTTTAAAGTTGCCACAAGTAAGCCAAAGGGTTGCCTCTGATATTTCATTTCACTATTTCATTTGTTTGAATACACTGTCATGAGTTATAAGAACAGGAAAATACCACATTTCCATAGTAGCAATTAACTAAAGATATATATGACACATTTTAATAACAAAAATACTACTTCTATGTTATACAGTCAAATTATCCTCAATTACTATAAAAGCCTAGTGTCTTCATCACATTCTAGTATTCCTCGGAGTTATGGTGGAACTATGTCAAGAAAAAGACAGAACTATGCAAATAACATCTATTCCTCATTACAGCAATAATTGCAGCAGTTTGGCTGAAGAATTCTAGAATTTGGAAGAGAGCATTAGTCCAAGTTGCTGCTGCCATCACTGTTAAAACACTCTCCCCACTCCTACACCTGTTTGGAAACAGAAAGATACAAAAAGCAACAATGTGAACTCTCCCTTAATTTACACCTATCTTTTTCTGAAAGCCGATTCTTGAATCACTTGTTTCCTCATGCATGATGTTCCTGTTGGCTTTCTTTGTCCCACCTACCTCTGGCCCACTTTTGGATTACTGTACTGTATCAGAAAAACATCTACTTCTGCTTCATTGACTATGCTAAAGCTTTTGACTGTGTGGATCACAACAAACTATGACAGGTCCTTAAAGAGATGGGAGTACCAGACCACCTCACATGTCTCTTGAGAAACCTGTATAAGGGCCAAGAAGCGACAGTTAGAACCGGATATGGAACAACTGATTGGTTCAGCATAGGAAAAGGAGTACGACAAGGATGTATATTGTCACCTTGCTTATTTAATATATATGCAGAGTACATCATGCGAAATGCTGGCCTAGATGAATCACAAGCAGGAATTAAGATTGCTGGGGAAAAGATCAACAACCTCAGATATGCAGACGATACCACTCTAATGGCAGAAAGTGAAGAGGACCTAAAGAGCCTCTTGCTCAGAGTAAAAGAGGAAAGCGCAAAAGTGGGCTTGAAGCTCAACATCAAAAAAACTAAGATCATGGCATCCGGCCCCATCACTCCTTGGCAAATAGAAGGGGAAGTCGTGGAAGTAGTGACAGACTTCACGTTCCTGGGATCCCAGATCACCGCAGACTGTGACTGCAGCCATGAAATTAAAAGACGCCTGCTCCTTGGGAGGAAAGCGATGGCGAACCTAAACAGCATGATAAAAAGTAGAGACATCACCCTGCCAACAAAAATACGCATGGTCCAAGCAATGGTATTCCCAGTAGTCATGTATGGCTGCGAGAGCTGGACTATAAGGAAGGCCGAGCGCCGAAGAATAGATTCTTTTGAACTATGGTGCTGGAGAAGACTCTTGAGAGTCCCTTGGACTGCAAGAAGAACAAATCAGTCAATCCTCAAAGAAATCAACCCTGACTGTTCCCTGGAAGGCCAGATAATGAAACTGAAGCTCAAATACTTTGGCCACCAAATGAGAAGGGAGCACTCACTGGAGAAGACCCTGATGCTAACAACAACAACAACTGTACTGTACTGTCAGCAGTTCGAGACCCGAGTGTGCCGCATGACGGAGTGAGCTCCCGTCTCCAGTTCCAGCTCCTGCCAACGGCTTTCGAGCAAGGGAACCTTTACTTTACTGTCATCATTGTCAAACCACTCCCCCCCCCGAAAATGAGTGGTTTCATTTTTTAAAGAAATACAACTCCTATGTAAGTATATCATATGAGCATGCTCAAAAAAAGGTCTAGGGTTCTCTGAATTCCCAGCTTTCATTTTTTTTAAAGTCTCCATCCGCTTCCTTTGTGGACATATGCCTTTTTCCTCACATCTCTGCGGAAATGGGGCTAGAGACTTTTTTAA